TAGTATTTATTTATTTAGAGATGGATTTCTTTTTTAATTTTTTTTATTTATTACAATTTATTTACTTTGTATTCCAGCTGTAGACCCCTCCCTTGTTCCCTTCCAACCTCACCCTCTCTCTTACCCTCTTCTCCTCCTATGCCCCTTCCCCAGTCCACTGATAGGGGAGGGCCTCCTCCCCTTCCATCTGACCCTACCCTATGAGGTCTCATCAGGACTGTCTGCATTGTCTTCCTCTGTGGCCTGGCAAGGCTGCTTCCCTCTCAGGAGGAGGTGATCAAAGAGCCAACCCCTGAATTCAAGTCAGAGACATCCCCTGTTACCCTTACTAGGAATCCCACTTTGTCACTCAGCTGCCATGGGCTACATCTGTGCAGGGTTTCTAGGTTATCTCCATGAATGATCCTTGGTTGGAGTATCAGTCTCAGAAAAGACCAATGGGCCCAGATTTTTTGCTTTTGTTGCTCTCCTTGTGGTGCTCCAGTCCTCTCCTGGTCTTTCCATCCTGGCTTCTTTTGTAAGATTTCCTGCACTCTGCCCAAAGTTTCTCTATGAGTCTTAGGATCTGCTTTAAATACCCTGCTGGGTAACACTTGAAATTCCTGTAGTAAAATCCTTATATCTCTTACTTCACTTTTATTTGTAAATTTTTATTGGCTATCGGGTTATAAGTTTGACAAGAATGGAGATTCTCTTCTGCTCATTATTATCCCTCTCTGTTACATAACAAATGGTAGCTGTTACACATAAAAAGAGGACTGGAGATGCAGCTCACTTGATAGAGTGCTTGCCTAGCATGCATGACTCCCTGGGTATGATATCCAGCACCCACATACACTGTTTAGTTCTACTAGTTCAAATATCCGTAGCTTAATAGCAAGTTGAAGACTTGGATTCCTGAAAAAAAAAATTAAAAAGCCAATATTCCAACAGCCCAAGGTAACTTGTCCATGTTAGCACAGCTATTTTAATAACTCATGAGTCACTGAATTTAGAAAATTAATATGGATATTTTCCTCATATCAATTTGTCTACTTTAGTTAATCAGTTAAATAAAATAGTGTCTCACTTTAAACATATTTATATTTTTATTATGATAATTTATTTGGTGTCTATGTTACCCTAGGACAGCATAAAATATATATTAGAGGACAAAAATGCATCTATTCTGATTTTTAATTACACTCTTCAATTAATTCTTGAATTCAGAACATAGCCTACATATTGTAGGTTTCCTATATGTGTTCCTCTATGTATTCTCTTTCTTTTTCTATTGCACTGTGATACTGACAAACACTGACATTAGAGTAAATAACCGAGAAACTTGGACCATTTACATGTCAAGTGATTTAATTGAAAAAAAAAAGCCATAGCTATTTTTTTTCTTTTTTTTTATTAATTACACTTTATTCATTTTGTATCCCCCCCATAAGCTCCTCCCTCCTCCCCTCCCGATCCCACCCTCCCTCCCCTTTCTGCATGCTTGCCACTCCCCAAGTCCACTGGTAGGGGAGGTTCTCCTCTCCTTTCTGATCTTAGTCTATCAGTTCTCATCAAAAGTGGCTGCATTGTCCTCTACTGTGGCCTGGCCACAGCCATAGCTATTTTAACAGTTGAAAACAAACACATTTTTATGAATAGTGAATTCTCTACTGGAAACCAAAGTGTCTAGCTCTGGTATAGTGTGTGCTAAAATGAAGAAAATTATCTGGAGTAATGTGGTGAATTTTTTTCAGAAAGTCAACTGATTTCAACCCACTCTGATTTTAAAATCGCCAATGCTGTGTCTACCCATAAAAAGTAAATGATGAAGCAAGGGTGAAAACTGTTACAACTTTGTCAAAGCTAAGAATCATTACCTGAGGCAGGGCAGGGCAGGGGAAAAAAAAACTGGATTTTTATACCAGACTTAGCCTGTGTAATTAAGAACCTTGATTTCAACAGACTTCTTTGTAAAATATGTGGACAATGAGGTGATGCTTATCATTTCTGAGCTACAAGAAAAGATGACTCAATAAAATAGTGTATGTTTTATAAGAAAATGTGGAACCATCCTGAAATATTAAAGCACTTAAAAGATGTAAGTGGCCAATAGAACTTCGGTGTTTTACTTGATTAGAGTCCTGTGTCTATAGTTTGCAAATATATCATGCAGTGTAAAGATATCAGTTCTTGACTTCATAGAAGCTTAAATAATTTAATCAAAGTTGTCTCCTCATGCAGTCACTTTTGGATAGGTGTAATATTTTCAAGAATAAAAAAGTTGCCTTTGAACTAGCCCCACTGATGCACACCTGTAATTCCAGCATGCTGTGAGTAAAGGCAGGGAAGTCATGAGGCTAGTGTGGGCTACATACTACAATTCACCACAGAAAACAATAACCAGGATATAGCTTAGTGTTAGAGCATTTGTTCTAACATGCATAAAGACCTCAATTTATTCTCCAATAGCAAAAATATAAATGTTGCTTTTCATAAGAACTAATTTTCAAGAGGCAAATAAAAATATATTTAGTCTCCTTATATAACATCTAATCACAATGTACCTTAAAAGTAGATTCTACAATTTATTAAATTGAAAATATAATCAAGCAGGTTAAAAATGTGGCAAAATACACAGTGATTAAATGCATGATTTTTGGAGTCATTGATATTTTTGTTGAAATTCTAGTACCTAATAATACCCATATGATTGTCATTTGTTAAATTTGGCTGTTTTATCTAAAATTACTTATAAGAATAATTAGGTTCTACTTCTAACTTCCTTATGAACTTGTTTTAAGTATTGAATTTAAAACCTCTAAGAAAGATGTTAGAAAACTCTTAATGTGTTAAAATCATTATCATTAATAACATCATCATCATCAAAGGAAAAGAAGACTAACAAGCTTAAAGAATTTAAATTGTTTTGTAAATATGGAACCAATATGGAAAAATCATTTAAAAATGATCTCCATGGTTTATAGAATGTCAGAAATTGATCAACTATTAAGGGTTTTCTAAACCACATTTGCACACACCCACATGTAATTTCCTGCACGAGAAAACTGAAGCTCATGGAGAAGACATAAGTAACCCAATATTGCAAACTGGCCAGTACTATAACTAGATTTCAAGCTAAAGAGCCTGACTCCAAGCCTAGGCACCTTTCTACTGGACCGTGATAACCAAAACACCCCATCTGTGCTTTAAATTGCTTATCATACCGTGATACAAAGTGAGTAAATTGTAATAAATAATATAAATTAAAAATTACTTATTCCAAATGAAAAAAATGTGATACAGAGTATCACACCCCACTGAATTGTTTGTTTGCTTGTTTGTTTTTTTTCTGGACAAAATTTATCTGTGTTGCCTTGGCTGTCCTGGACTCGATTTGTAGACCAGGCTGGCCTTGAACACACAGTGATCTGCCTGCCTCTGCTTTCCTGAGTGCTGGGATTAAAGGTGTGTGCCACCAATTCACTGGATCATTGAATTTAATGATTTCAATATGAATGGCCTAAGGGACCTACGTATAGGTAATTTATACAAAATTAAACACTTAAAAAGTCTACAAAAAATCCTTATTCTTGGAGTGACCTTAAAATCATGACATGCTCTTCATTAATTCATTCACAAACATTTTTTTTCACTTCTTATGGGACAGGAAATGACTCTTAGCAGGATTAACAAAGAGGATAAAAATTATCTAAGTATATTATATTCATGTGACTATTGTGATGAAGCCACTTACTTTGTATAATTAATGTTAGTAAAATATCTCACTAATCTTTAAAAGAAAAGTGAGAATTATATTCATGTAGAACAAAAAAAAAAAACATACTTCATTATCTGTGGGCCAGATCCATTAACACATGCTTGTATTTGAAATCATTTTTCTGAAATAAAGAGTATGTGCTTCTTTGCCTTATTTCTGTAACCTTCTACATTTTTCTGAACAGCTTTTAGTTTATTGCAGGAAATCGAGGAACTTATTCAGAAGCACCCAGAAAATATTTGAATCTCTATTGATGAAGCTGAAATAAAGGAAGGGAAAGATTAAAATGTAACAAGTTGAAGACAAAATGACCAAAAAAAAAAAAATGTCAGAGTGTCTAGAATCTTCTCCAGTTTGTGCAAATATTTTGATAACACATGTTATACTTACATTGTAGTTTGGCTTCTGATAAATCTGTCAGTGTTTATGGGAAAGTATCTCGGAAGTATGTAAATCCATTATAAATTATAGGAAGGGGTAAGGACCTTGAGTGATACTATCAACTCTGTGCAATCTAAAGATGGTGCAGTTGACCAGTGATTAGCACTTGAGTAACATATGAGGTCTTGGGTTTGATTCCCAGTACCATGAAAAAAATTCCTGTACACACTGAGGCAGTGTATCTTACCTAACTTGGGGAGAAATATAATCAATGAAAGCATAGTCAAAATGCTAATCATTTTGTCTAATCATTATGAATACCACATTTCTTCACTTTTGCAATGATATTAAAACACCACCGCTGACTCCAGCTTAATTGCTGGTAATAAAACAGATTAAATTATGATGGAGCCAATTTGAAGTAAACTTAATGTAACATTGTGTTTTCGAAAGTAGCTTCATCTATTAGTTTGATAATCTATCTTTGTTTTTACTTGACAAATTATTCATTTTGTTCACAGCAAACATATAATACTATTGGGGTATATATTAACACAGTTGTCAAAGAAGAAAAAAAGTAAACCTAATAATACAAGATTGTGCTATAATAAACATACTCTAGAAATTCTTATATTATTAGGTTAGTTTAGAAGTTGGCCAAGTAATTCAGTAAATGTGTCCTTTGGATAGACATCATCAAAAAAGGCCCTATGTGCTCTTATTTGAGACTAATAAGATTATTATAAAAATAAAGGACAGCTCATCCATTCAATTGCATGGGCTAGTAATCCCAGTAATTGAAGATTTTCAAAGTGCAGTGGTCAGAAAAAATTTCTGAATGGTTTGTTTTTCTCAACAGGAGCTCCAGTCTCCAACTATGAAAATATCTACGTGTGCACCAAGCACTTTACATATAACACAAAATGCTGAACAGGTAAACAAAATTTGTCTTACGTTAGACTTGTTTTTCTTCTTTTTATATAATCTTGTTTACATTTATTAACAGTCTTTATAGAACTACACCTTCAAAAAATGTCAAAGCTGACATACAAAAGAGGATATTTTCATGTGTGAATATAATCTCTGTCTATGAAAAAGTTGTATAGCAAGTGCCATGTATTATATTTTTTTTTTCTCATCCGTATTGTTTTTAGTTTAAGTGTAGTTGACTTTTAGCTGACAATCTCTTAGTGACTGGGTATTTTAAATATTTTTGGTTTGAATACAAATAAAATACCTGAATTTGGATTGACTGAGGAACTGACTTTATGAGTAATAGCACTTTAAAATTTATGTTTACATGGCAAGAGATTATACTTATTATGTGTGTATTATTTCAATGACACATACTCTTTATTTCCTCTCACATATATGGCCTAATAATCCTAGTTATCTTTATTAGGTTTTACTGTAAGTATTGTATATTCAAATGAGATCTGTAGCAAATGATTGATATTGTAATAAAATGTTTAGTTAATTAATATATATATATATATATATAAAGTAAAGTCTAAAGAAACAAAATATAAAGCATATTAAATTAGCAGTTACATGGGAGAGAAACATACAATTTAACATGTAGACAAGAGAGAAGATGCCATTTTAAATTTCTGGAAAACACTTGGTATTTTGTTGCTAAATCCTAATTTTTGGTTTGGTTGAATAGTTTGGTTGAATAGTTTGAACCATTTTCTTTCTCTTCATATTTTAATTGAAAATTCCATACATGCATATGACCTCTCTATTCCTTTCCCCCTTGAATTCCTATCCTTTCCTGCCAACACTTTTTTTCTCCCAACCTCTTCTTTTATGATTTTTTTTTTCAAACTGAATTCACTGGGTGCTTCCTCTATGGGCATGGGTGTTGGACCCTCTGTTAGAACATGAGTAGCTCTCTAGGGACCACATCACTGACAAAAACCTAATTCCCCATCCTCAAGCAACCATCTGTTTCCAGTAGCTCCTCAAATATGGGCAGGACTTCATGATCTTTTCCCCAACCATTTTAATGTGTTTGTTGGTTTAATCTCGTACAGATCTCATAAATGCAGTCACAGACACTGTGAATTCATGTGTGCAATGGTTTTGTCATGTTCAACAAATAAGATTTTGCTGGAGATGTCTATGATTTCTGGTTCTTACAACACTCCCACATTCCCACCCTTTCTTTCATAATCCATGAGCCTTATTTTATTAAATTGTACATATATTTGATTGCTTTGCTATTAATTTAGAGATCTTTTCTCATTGATACATAACAATCCTCATATATTAACAATTTTGACTTTTCCATTAAAACTTTACAAATAATTTTGTTCTGGTGTTCTTCCTTCCTTCCTTCCTTCCTTCCTTCCTTCCTTCCTTTCTTTCTTTCTTTCTTTCTTTCTTTCTTTCTTTCTTTCTTTCTT